ACCAGCGATAATAAGGGCTGAGATTGGTCCTTCCTTTGTGGACAAGGGAATTTGGGATGAGGTGGTGGTACCCTTCATGGAGATGGAGAGAATAGGATGAGGAGCAGATTTAGGGAAAGACAAGGGCTTTCTGCTTAGGACATGTCCAAGATTTGTGGGCCTGAAGCAGCAGAGAGGCTGGGGCTAGAGACAAAAGCTTGGAAGTTACTGGAGGGATATACGAGATGGTAGAGGCCCTGGGGCTGGGGACATGACACACAAGTGACCAGGTATTGCCTACATCACTGTCTACAACCTTCTTATGAGTCTGAATTTTCTTTGAGGACAGAAATACTTCCCACCACAGTGTTCATTACACCTGTGCCAGGAAAATGGTCAAGAACAGAACTTCTAAAGAAGAAAGAAAGCTTAAAAACCAGGTTACTTGAGAGAACTGAGGCCCAGCACAGTTAACTCTCACACCTGAGGTCACATACCTGGACTGCCACAGTGCTGGCTATAGCACCCAGTCCAGTGTTCTTCTGAGGACCCACACTGCCTCAGGCAGTGAGTTGAGTTGCGTGAGCCCAGATGTGCAGCGAGAGTCGGGGTTTTGGGCTTACTGAGTGTCTCTGAGCCTCATTTTCATCAGCATTAAGTAGGTAGGGGTTAACTGGGGCCATACCACGTGTTAGGCAACAAGCACTGTGCCTGGCACACAGTAGGTGCTCAATACATGTTTGTTTTTTTATTTCTTAAGCTGGTGGTTCAAACCCACCAGCCACTCCTCGGAAGGAAGGTTGGACAATCTACTTCCATAGTGATACTCACCTCAGAAACCCAAGGAAGGGTCCCTATGAGTAGGGGCCAACTTGACTGCACATACCAACAACAACACCAAGAAGAAGAGGATTTCAAATAATGTGGAAAAAGTACAGGAGTGATGGATCAAGGTGGGTGCTCTGACCTGAATGGATTGAATTGTGCCCATCCCTCTAAAATTTAAGTTGGAATCCTAACCCCTATACCTGTGGATGTAGACAGGAATAAGGGTTAGGGCAGTTCCCATAGGAGTTTCTTAGTTGTGTTAATGAGACCATATCAGTATGGGGTGCGTCCTAAATCTAATGGCTTCTGAGGTATAAGGAGCAGCACAGAGGTGAGGAAGTACAAAGGGGGGCAGGTAGATAATGCCACTTGAGGATGGCCAAGGAAACGAGGACAAGGATCTTCTCCCAGAGAGAACAGAGAGCTTTCCCTGCAGCTAGTGCCCTAAATGTGTACTTCAGCCTCCAGAACTGTGAGGGAGGAAAAAAAATCACTTGTGGTATTTTCATTACATCTGCACTAAAAACTAAGGTTAACAGGCTGAAACATAAATAAAATGATCTTGGACATCAACACAGTTTTCAAAGTTCACATTAGCCCCGTCACTCTCCTCCAGAAAGCACTGTTTGCTTAGGGACTTGACAGTGAGCGTTTAGCAGCTCACCCTCCTCCCTCTATCTCCTTTCTCGTCACTCCTTGGCTCCGCCCACCCCACCGGCTCAGTGACGTCGCCCAGGAGGAAATGATTTCTCTGCGCAAAAGGTTTTGAGGATGTGTTGCTGTCACAGTAAGTGGAGGGTGTGTCTGAGTTTGGAAGGTAAGGTGGGCAGGAGGAGGAGACCTGGAAAAGCATGAGAGGTTGTTTTTTGAAGGATTTCTTGGGCTTTGAGAAGCATAGGGACTGGAGATAAAAGAGAGTGGGGAGTGGAGGCCAAGATTAGCGCGCGCCGGGTGGGGTGGGGGCGGCTTCCGGAGCCTTTTGTTCAGAGACGTTTCCTGGACGTTCTGCTGCGATCCGCACCTTTGTCATTCAAGTCCTCAGTGACCAGGCATCTCGGATCCCGTGAAGAAAATGAAAGCGAAAGCATGACTTGTCAGTTGTTTCTGGGGTGTCTTTATTCTCGATATTTTACTCACAGTTTCCTTGAGTTTCGTTCCGTCCTTGCTTCCCAGTTTACCCCGGATTATAAGGGAGACAGGAGCTCTGGTGGAGTAGTGCCTAAGGCATTTGACTGCTAACCAGAAGGCTGGCAGTTCAAAACCACCAGCCACTCCTCGGAAGGAAGGTTGGACAATCTACTTCCTTAGTGATACTGACTGCCTCGGAAACCCAAGGAGGACTCGCTATGAGTCGGATCTGGATCAGACTCCACGGCAGTGAGGTTGGTTGTTTGGTTTAAGGGAAACTGTCTACAAATGGATTTGGTTTGAAGAATTCATTCCCTCAGAATGAATTCTACCTCAGGCTCAGAGGTAGTGTTAATGATGTATAATGGATGAGACCTTGGAGGGTGAGAGTTTTGAGACTGTTAGATGGGTGAGAATGCAGAGAAACTTTTGTGAATTTTGCAGCAGATTCAATTATTTAAATAATACGATCAACATGTGGGGCCATATGATGATTGAATTGCATCTATAGTGCTCAGATCTGCCTGAGGGCAGTTGGACTAAATTGACCTGGAAGTCCTTTATTTGTGTAGTACCCATGCAAACATAGGAGCTCTGGTGGCCTAATGCCTAAGGCATTTGACTGCTAACCAGAAGGCTGGCGGTTCAAACCCACCAGCCACTCCTGGGAAGGAAGATTGGGTAATCTATTTCCATAGTGATACCACCTCAGAAACCCAAGGTGGGGTCGCTATGAGTGGGATCTGACTGGAGGGCAGTGAGTTTGGTTTTGGTTTTTATTGTGTGCATGTGGGTGAGGAGAACAGGATTAGCTAAAAAAAATTTTTTTTTCATAAAGGGACAAAATAAGCTATACCATTTGTTGTGTGCCTAGTGCTTGCCACACATTATACTATAATGCACTTTACAAACGTGACCTTATTTATTCTGGCAACAGAAAATTAAAACTCTAACAGACTAACTGACAATCTATGATTACACACAAGAAGTAACAGTTTAAGGTTACAGAGCCAGAGATTTTTTTTTTTTTTTAATTTTCATTGTGATTTGGGTGAAAGTTTACAGAGCAAAATCATTTTCCATACAGCAGCTCACATACACTTTATCTCATGACATTGACTGCAATCTCCCACAATGCAACAGCTCCCCTCTCACTTCCTCCCCATAGTTGCCTCTTCCCTGTGTCCTTCCCTCCCATGCACTCCTGCCCCCCAAGCTGTCTCCCTGTGTCCCATAAACAGCCCTTCTATTCTCCCATGATTGATCTCTCCCAAGAGTGTATCTGCCTAGTGTAAATGTTCAGCTCATATGTGTGTCTTTTGTTTGGCTGGAAGCCACAAGAGTGGGTTCAATTCCAGACCTGAAGGGCAGCTAGGGGCCATAGTCTCAGGGATTCCACTACAACCAGAAATTTAAATTTAGGTCTTGTTGAGGCTAGAGTCTCGGGAGCGCTGATGACATAGTAGTTAAAGCATTCAGCTGCTAACCAAAATGTTGGCTGTTTGAGTCCATCCAGAGGTGCCTAAGAAGAAAGTCCTGGTGGTCTATTTCCAGAAACTCACACATTGAGCGCCCCATCATGCACCGTCCCACTCTGACGCACATGAGTCAGGGTCGACTCGATGCTTAACTGATAAGTGGGAGAAATGAATGAGGTTGACCACCTTTCCATGACTGGGATGTGGCATGAAGTTGGTAGGTATTTATTAGAGATAAAGAATGACACTTCTTTGAATGATATATCTCCTAGGGGTCAAGCTCAAAACAATCCCATACTATATTGGTTCTCAGAGACATTAAGCAATTTACTGAAGACAACAGAGCTAGCAAGGGTCTCCGGTACCTTCAGTTGTGTTGACTCTGTCTCTGCCCTCTGGGAACTTCAGGCTGTGACTTAGCTGGTAAAGCACTTTTGGAGCCAGCTCCCAGTGACCTCCCTAGCTTGCCCATGCTGCTTCCTCTCCTACTCCTTAAAAACTCTATGGAGCACAGTTCTACTTTGTCATACATGGGGCTACCATGAGGCAGAATCAACTGCATGACAACTGGTTCTTATTTTTGGTAAGAGTACATTTGTATGACATTGAAAAAAATTTGTTGATGCTGGTTGAGAATCTGAAAGAATAATCATATCCTTTGACCAATCATTCAGTTCTTTGGAATGTAACATAAGAAACAAGCTAAAATTGCTTTATATTCAATCCCTCCCCGCCCCCCCAAAAAGGTTTCTACAACATTATCTAGAATTGCTTAAAAAAATTTAATTAAAAAAACTAATTAAAATTATTTTTAAAATTTTCTGTAATTGTTGTTGTTGTTATTTGCCATCGAGTTGGCCCCGACTCATAGTGACCCCTCCTTGGGTTTCCGAGGCAGTATCACTACGGAAGTAGGAATGCCCAACCTTCCTTCCGAGGAGTGGCTGGTGGGTTTGAACCGCCAGCCTTCTGGTTAGCAGTCAAGTGCCTTAGGCACTATGCTACCAGAGCTCCTAATAGGGAAGTGAAATAACTGTTTAAAGGACAACCATTAAAATGTTCTAAAACACTTGGTAGTAACTTAGGAAATTATTTATAATATGACACTAAATGGAAGGAAGCAGGATGCAAAATTATTTACACAGCATGATCCTAGCTATTTTTTAAACAAACTATAGAAATATACTAAAATACTAACAATGTCTATTTCTAGGCAGTAAGACTATATAGTGTAATAATTTTATTATTTTTAACTTGTGTATCTTCAAAATATTTTATAGTAAACAAGTTATAAAGTGAATACATAGATATATTTTCAAAATGTTGCTAGTAAAATTGATTTATATGATTCAGATGTTTTCCCATCATTCTGAAATTACCAAGTGTTTCTCTTGTCTCCAGGTAGAATGTCATATGCCTCAGAGAACTTTGTCTCTCCTCATACTGCTTGTCTTCAGTGAGACAATTTGTATTTCCCCTCGTGGGAATTTCTAAGCCTTTTATGCCTCTTTCATCAAGTTCAAAGAACATATATTTTCATTTTCTCAAAGAAAAGGCAAAAAGTTGTAGCCAGTGGCGTTTGCCGTCATGGAGAGCAAGAGCCATGACAACCTCCAGGAGAGACTTCTGCCCACCAGCAGTGAGAGTGCTACAGTGCAAGGTCAGTTGATCCCAGCTATTCGAAAAGGAGATGTGGAGAGGGTCCAGCAATTGCTGGAAAGAGGGGCTGATGTCAATTTCCAAGGGAAAGAAGGCTGGACGCCCTTGCATAATGCAGTACAAATTTGTAGGGAGGACATTGTGAATCTTCTGCTTCGTTATGGTGCCGACCCTTGTATGAGGAAAAAAAATGGGGCCACTCCCTTCATCCTTGCTGGGATTGTGGGAGATGTGAGTCTGCTACGACTATTCCTTTCTAAAGGATCAGACGTCAATGAGTGTGATGTGAATGGCTTCACAGCTTTCATGGAAGCCGCTATCTATGGTAAGATAGAAGCCTTAAGATTCCTATATGAAAAAGGAGCAGAGGTGAATTTGAGTCGAAAGGCAAAGGAGGAGCAAAAGAAGATTGGGAAAGGAGGGGCCACAGCTCTTATGGATGCTGCTGAAAATGGCCACATAGGCATCTTGACAGCACTCCTTGATGAGATGGGGGCAGATATCAATGCACGTGACAATATGGGCAGGAACGCCTTGATGTGTGTGCTTCTGAGCTCTCGTGATGGGAAGGTGAAGGCCACCACTGCTCAGACCATCACTCGCCTCCTGCTCGACCACGGGGCAGATGTCAAAGTACGGGGAGAAGGAAGCAAAACTCCCCTGATCCTGGCAGTGGAAATGAAGGAGTTGGGTTTGGTGCAGATGCTACTGGAACAAGAACGTATAGAAATTGATGAGACAGACAGTGAGGGCAAGACAGCATTGCTGATTGCCGTCCAGCTGAGACAGGAGGAAATAGCCCGTTTGCTGTGCAACCATGGAGCCAGTGTGGACTGTGGGGATCTTGTTATGACAGCAAGGAGGAATTACGACATTTCCCTTGCAAACTTTCTTCTCAGTAAAGGAGCCAGAGAGGATTTTCACCCTCCTACTGAGGACCGGGAACCTCAGAGTTCACGTTGGAGGGTGGCCTTGAAACAACTCCATAGGATGTACCGCCCTATGATCGGCAAACTTAAGATCTTTATTGTTGAGGAATATAAAATTGCTAACACTTCTGAAGGGGGTGTCTATCTGGGATTCTATGAGGGGCAAGAGGCCGCTGTGAAGCGATTCTGTGAAGGCAGCAAACAGGCACAGAAGGAACTCTCCTGTCTGCAAGAAAGCCGAATGAACAGTCACTTGGTGACCTTCTATGGGAGCGAGAGTCAGAGTGGCTGTTTGTACGTGTGCCTTGCCCTCTGTGAGCGAACGCTGCAGGAGCACTTTGCCTTGCACCAAATGGAAGAAGCTGCAGAAGACAAGGAGGCTGAGTTTGCCAGGATTGCCCTGTTGTCTCTATTTAAAGCTCTTCAAGAACTATACCTGGTGGGTGGATACACTCACCAGGATCTGCACCCACAAAACATCTTAATAGGTGAGTCTCCAATACCTGATCTTCCCTTAGACATTGTGGGATCTTTGTTTACAAAGGAAATATTTTCCATTGCAGTTAGGAAGAGTCTAAAGTAAATTTTCACATGTGGATTATTCAATTTGAAAACTGGTGCAACAGCTTTGTAAGTGCAATCTCTCCTGGCTACCAGTGATTACTGGGTTCCCTTAGACCCCAAGGAGGTCAGTTGATGCCAGCAGAGTATGTGGCTCACCTTATATTACCTTTGGCAAAATACAAATATGAAGGTATGTCATGCATAGAGCCAGCTCCAGAAATTTGAATTCTAGAGTAGTCTGCAAACCAAAGAATCCTGATGGTGAATTCCTTTAGGTGAAACTCAATGGCAAAACTGAAGTCAGAATTCAGGGGGTCAGTGCAAGATGCATCACTGTGAAGATACAGACCCCAAGCAGGCAGGGTAAGTCAGCATCCACTGGTGCAAGACAAATGTAAGATTGACGACTACCTCCTTAAAGGAAGCAAGCAGAGCTGAATGTATAGTCCTAGAAGGCAATATGGTGCAGTAGAGTCTGGGCTTTGGTGGTACTCATAGAGGCTTGAAGCCTAATACTGCCACTTTTAATCTAGCTTTTGTAACCTCATACAAGTCACTTAAATCTGTGAGTCTTAGTTTCCTCATTTGGGACTGATAATACCTGCTTCAGGAGCCCAGGTGGCACAGTGCTTAGGTGCTTAGCTGGTAACCAAAAGATTGGCAGTTTGAACCCACCCAGTGGCTCTGCAGGAGAAGAACCTGACAATCCATTCCCATAAAGATTTATAAGTCTGGGAGCTCTGGTGGCGTAGTGCCTAAGGCATTTGACTGCTAACCAGAAGGCCAGTGGTTCAAACCCACTAGCTATTCCTCAGAAGGAAGGTTGGACAATCTACTTCCATGGTGATGCTGCTTCGGAAACCCAAGGAGGGGTTGTTGTAAGTTGGATCCAAATTGACGACAGTGCCTAGGAAACCTTATGGGGCAGTTCTACTCTGTCCCGTAGGATTGCTAGGAGACAAAATTGACTCCATAGCACCCAACCACAGCAACAAACCTGCTTCAAAAGGTTGGTTTGAGTACAATGCCTTAAGTAGACAAGTCAAGTAGTACACCATAGATGCTCAGCAAAAATCCAGTACTTGTCTAGAGGTCTAAGCAGAGGCAAATACCCGGCATATAGACTTGCATTGAGATTTAAACTTGGTGAGAGGGAACAGGGGAAAAAGCGGGTTCAGATATTGAGAGGCAGAGAACAGTATGTAAGGGCCTGGAAGAGATAAATGGGTATAAGAATAAAACTGTTGTTGTGTGCTCTTGATTCCAACTCATAGCAACTCTATGTGACAGAGTAGAACTGTCCTATAGGGTATCTTAGGCTTTAATCTTTTTTTTAAATTGTGATTTGGGTGAAGATTTATAGAGCAAATTCACTCTCCATACAGCAGTTCACATATACTTTGTCTCATGTCACTGACCACAGTTCACCACAATGCAACAGCTCTCCTCCCACTTCCTCCCCATAGTTACCACTTCCCAGTGCCCATCCCTCCATACTCTCCTGCCCCCTGAGCTGTCTCCCTGTGCATAAGCAGCCGTTCCTTCTCCCATGATTGTTCTCTCCAGGGCGTGTGTCTACTTGAGGTAAATGTTTAACTCAC